TGATTCTACATAGACGCAAACATAAAATGATAAAAAAAATTTAGTGATATTGATCTCTACTTAGTCATTCCACATTTCATACGTTTTAAATACCGTACCGTACCGGTCGGTAATACCGGTAATACCGAATACCGACCATTAGTACGATACAAATACACTCAAAATACCAGATTTACAGTTACACCGATTTGTACCGGGATCATATCATAAAACCACAAAATGCCGATCCAAAATACCGGTTAATTAAAAAAATTAAAAAAAAATAATATTTAAATTGGTAGTTAAAATATTTTATTTTCATCTTATTGAAAAGTTGAAATTAATGATTATGGTCATTTATTTTTTTAATTTAGTGCATTTGGTATTAAATATTTGTATGTATATTTATATTTATTATTATATTTGCTAATCCGGTAATACCACTGATATTACCGATCCGACCGGCAATACCGTGTACCGGTGGCTAGACCAGTATGACCACCGGTACGGTATTTAAAACACTGAATACACCATTGAGCTAAAATTACACAATTAGTGGCAAAATTCTACTACAAATTTTAGTTGTTCAAGACTCAACAAGTCCATACTTCTCTTGTGAACCCGCCCACCCTTCAGATTTCTCCTTGTCTTCCAAATAGTATAAGCCAACAAAAAAGGAACTGCAAAACTGTAGACAGACAGGGAAATCCACGACCGGGTTCATCTCAAACGCCTTCATCAGTGCCGCGCATTTCTACATGATCACATTGCGGAAACAAACACCACTCGTTCGTAAGAAGAAAAAAAAATCCAAACAAACAGATCACAAGTTAATAGGAAAAAAAAAAAAAAGAACAAGAAAGTATTTACCTTAAAATCAAGGAAATAAATAGCTCGCTAAAGTTGCCGCTATTTGAGAAATAGTTTTTTTTTGCAGCGTGCCGCTATTTGTATTCATGTGCAATTTAGCCGCTAAATCCCGCTAAATCTCCGCTATAACTCCGCTATAGCTACAGTGCCATAAATGTTTTTAGCCCGCTATTTAAAACCTTGCTTAAAATGCTTCCAAACAATAGCCAAAGAAGCCACATAAAGCAGTTTTGTGTACAACAATTTCCCATGTTATATTATGGTCTGAAACAGATTCCTTATTTAGACCATTATCATCATCTTTCGACATAAGATAATCACGATATACTCCACTCTCAGCTGCAAATGCCATAATAATTATTACGGAGAAGAAAAAGATGTGGAAGAACAATCACCATCACAAGATGGTGGCAAATACAAGAAATCGGGTGACAGGAAGGAATGCAAGGCCCAAGAATCCAAAACCCAGACGATGGTTGTGGACCGATCCCGTCATGGATGTTTCTTGTGCGACGACGACCATCATATGAGTGATTGTCCCAAATGCCTGAAGGTAAAAGCAAATGTCATAGTGGAGCAGGGAACTTCTAAGAGCAATAGGGAAGGCACGATGGGCCTTAACTCTATGTTGCTGTTGAACCAAGTCCATGAAGTCCCTGTAGCATGCAATGGTTTGATGTATACGAAGGTCGGTTCATGGTTGTAGCATCTTAAGCTGACACTTTTTGCAAATCCTCAACATCAACTTTTTCTTATATTGTTATTAGCTCAAGCCTTTAGGCAAGTTCTTCTACCTCTCCCGCAGAAACAATATTTTATTTTCACGGACCCTGCTGCTAAGGTCCCTAACTGGAAGTCGAAGTTCTTTTTCCTTCGACCTCCTTCCAACTCCTTTTACTTTTCTCATGCGTGGCTTTCTGAAAAGCCCAACCAATGCAACAAACAAAAACGAAATAAATAGTATTTTGATTGATCACCTAATGGAATAAGACTCCATACGACCTCATTCGTTTGACCAATGATTCTCGACGGATGACCAGGGCATCACTGTGTGGTGCTGAAAAACCTCTCCCTGTAATAAGCCACGAGTGTCTTGCTCCAAGGAATCCTCTATTACCACTTGAATCTCCTTACCCTTTGATGCCTTTTCTATTCTCGAAATAATTTTCCTAAATTTTTTTATTGTGAGAATACGATCAACCTCTTATAGCCGATAACAGACTGACCTTCTCCACAGATGGCGCCATTTTTTTTTAGTTTGATCTTGAATGGAATTGAACTGCCTACACTGTAGACTTCCTTCTCCTTTGAGCTTCGTTGACCTGCAATATGGCAGGAGGGGGTCCCGACAAAAAACTTTCGACGCTCAAGTCATAACTTGCTTAACGATGATATATTTAGATGTCTTAATTAAGTACAACCTGAGACCCTTATATAGGATAGTTATCTTGATGCCCAAGAGAGTTCTTGTTATGAATAAGATCCAACTAGATCACATTTCCTAACTTACCACATCTCTATCTAGCCAAGTCTCCTGAGCAAGTTATATTTTAAAAGATGTTTTCCCCCTTACCACGTAGTTCTTAGGTCCTCAAGCCATAGCCAACACCTCTTGACCCGCTTGTTGCGATGTAGCCGAAGTCGAGCCTGACCTCTTGATTCGAACCTAACATCAGGTCTTACAACCTCAATACCTTGAAGTAGACTTTATTATCAGGCTTCTTTAGGTCGTTGCCTCCAGGTCATCTGCCTTAGGTCAACCAATACTATGAGCTCAGATACACGCTCTTTGATTGGATTACTTATTTCTAGACAGAACAGAGCTCTCCTGGACCGACCTATTCGAGCTAACTGCTCAAGTCGGGTTGCAGAGCTATTTTGATTCTCCAGGTCATCTGCCTTAGGTCAACCAATACTATGAGCTCAGATACACGCTCTTTGATTGGATTACTTATTTCTAGACAGAACGGAGCTCTCCTGGACCGACCTATTCGAGCTAACTGCTCAAGTCGGGTTGCAGAGCTATTTTGATTCTAAATCAAACTGGTTGAGCTTTTGTAATTTGGAGTAGGTTGTTTTGAGGGTTATTTATGGTTTCAGTGGACTGATTTTGGCTCTAAATATTGTGTTAATAGGTGAGTATGAATTTGCACTCCAATGACTTTGGCTTGAATGTATGAATTTGTCTTGAGCCCTTATCTATACATTTCAATAGTATAGCATAGATGCTTAATAGTAAATTTATTTTTCCACTTAAAAATTTTCGAGCCGAGGTCGAGCTCGAGCAATTATACTTTTTTTATCGAGTCGAGCTCGAGCTCGAGCAGCTAAAAAAAAAAACCAATCATCGATGCTAAACTCGGGTCGACTCGTTTGCAACCCTACCAATGGAGAATAAATAAATAAATAATATTCAAATTTCAAATGCATTTTTTGGAACCAATGGAAAAATAGAGAATTGTCGACAAAATACATGATCTGCACTTGGTTTCAACATATCACCACACTAATTCTATCTATCAAATGACAACAACTCCAAGAAAGGGGAGGGACATGAGAGATATCTATTTAAATTCTCAAGGCAATACTATTTTCAACAGTTCTGCAGATGAATATCCTTCTTCAATACTGTATCAACTATACCCTTCAATGAATCTGACATAATGGTCATAAGATGTCGATTAATAGCAATGCCCAGAAACATGTCGGCAAAACATGCAAAGATAAAATAAAATGCGGAGTGAGATACTCAAGCAGTTCAATAGCACATAGGCTGACAATTGCAGAAAGAAATAGGTTCATTGAAAGTCCACCAAAGACAAAACTTCATTCACTTGTACAAACACTAAAGAAGTGTGTCTCTATTTGCAAGTAAGATATGGTAATTACAAACACTAAAGAAGTGTGTCTCCATTTTTGGACTTCATTTTCAACACAAGCGTACAGATGAACGTAAATCAAACATCAAACAACAGTTTTATCATATATTTTCCCAAAAGTGAGTACATATCCATTCAAACTCTAAGCAAATAATATATCATAAATCAATGCAACAAAATGTTCAAAAAACACAACAAATTTCTAACTATACGAGCGAAATGAAACACAAACTACAAATTCACATGAAACTGGTGGATGCCACAAAGTGATATATTGTTTTATGATTTATACCAAGGATGAATTATATAACCAATTTTCTATTATTTTCACAAATGTATACTCTAGTTGATACATTTTCTAGCCCTTTCTAGAAATACTTCAGCATCCTTAAAATAGTTTTGGGTTCTTATTGGGCATTGACTAAAAAGCATTGATTAGAAGGCAATCTAAACGATAAAATTAGCATTAAGGGCAGCACTAACACAGAAGTACTACCAAAACAAACTTTAGGAACCTAACACAACCTAACGAGAAATCTAAATTTGGATTGGCTGGTCGATCACAAATTATAAAAACACCATGGGCACAATTATTCAGACAAAAATTAGAATTTAGTTTTCAATTATAGAGTAAAATGTGCAAGATGAAGTCACATTTCAGTGTTAAACCAAATTATCAATCTAAATATATGGCCATCCTACAAGTAGGCTTGTAAACAAATCAAATTTTTTTGATTCGATTCAATATTCGTGATTCGAATTCGAAATATTCGAATTTGACTTCGGATACGAATATAATGTTTTATATTCGAAAGTTGAACAAATCTGAATTCAAATTTGTAGATATTCGATTCAAAATTCGAATATTCGATTCGTTAACAATAATTATATAATAAACTATATATAGTATACATTTTGTTTATAATATATATGTATATATATTGTTATATTCCTACAATTTTTATGACATAAAAAGTAAAAACATCATAAACTAACAAATTTTCCTAAAAATATGTGGAAAATAAAAATTATTTTTTGTAATTATAATATTTTTTAATGATATATATTTTTTCTTTTTGAAAAAGAATTTCGAATCGAAGCGAATATGTTCGAATATTCTAAACGAATTGAATACGAATCAAAATATAAGTTTGTTAACGAATCAAATACGAATTCGAATCTTCAAATATTTTAACGAATTCGAAACGAATCTCTGAGTATTCGCTTTGATTCGATTCGTTTACAACCCTACCTACAAGCACCCTGTCGAAAATCCAGAAAAATGGATGAGGGTAATGCAACTAAAAGTAAAGACAAAATGGAGGCTAGTTCTTCCATATACATTACACTCTAAAAATTAGCTTGATGCACGTGAATGCTGAAAACAAAATCTACTTACCAGAGAAAGACAAGCCCTCAAATAAACAGGCACCAATCAGCCGGATACCAGTTTTACAACGATGCAAAGCAAATTGAGAAGAATGAGAGGGACTCTTAAGTACTGGGTCGCATATATTAAGCCAAGAATCTGCCCCTTGAACGAGTTCCGAGTGACACCAGAATATTCCTGAAAACTCCAACCTCTTGGAGCAAGAAATCGATCTTCATTTAGTATGGCCAGTGCATTGGCAAGTAGCAGACAGCCCTCAAGCAGTGTCCACAAACCCATTTTTCTGAAATTTGAAGAATCTCAGGTAACTCCTTTTTGGGATACATTCTGACATATAAAACTAGTAATCATACAATTGAATATTGTCCGCCCAAACATTATCATTAATATTAGTTCCAACAATTTCACAATGCCATATTTTTTTCCTTTCAAAAAATGCTTTGATCATCAAAAGAGTTTACATAGTGCATGTCTACAGTTCAGGTATATGATCAAAAAATTACAACCAGCCCTACACCTATTCAGCTAAAGCAATCAAGATGGTCCTTTTCACTAACTTAGACCATCTCATAGTCAATCATAAACTTTAAAAGAAGTCTTAAAGATAAACATATAATGAAAGCAATACCTGAACTAATTACTAAACACACACATATATATAACCAAGCTAAGATACTGATTGATGATAATTATGAAAAGTAGTCGACCAATAACAAAAATGCTTTGCACGATAATGAGATACATATATCATCATACAGACAAATTAAACTGTAACTGGGTTCTGGAACAGACACATTTAACAACCAATAAACATAATGCAAAAAATACTTCTAAATGTAGAGAGCGCCAGAGAAATAATGAAAATTCGACCATAACATATTGACACAACATTAAGAAAAACAACAAGGCAATAAAAGACAGCTTAACTTGTATAATACAACTGAAGAATATAATTTAAGAGTTCTTATTAGGCTTACATTCATTCATGCATAAGAGCATCTCCAATGGAACATTGTCCATTTTGTGTTGAATAGCATGAAGACATGAAATTAAAAAAAATGTGTCTACAATGGTAAGCATTAATTGTGGTATAAATTGTGATGTGTAAAATTGTAATTGGTTGAAAAAAAAAAAGATAAATTAAATAAATAATATAATATATTGTGGAAGTTGTTTAGAATGACTTCTACATCTAGAAGTCTTTCTAGACATTTACCATGCCACATTTGATTATTTGTGCCATGTGGCAATAGAAAAGAAGAATAGAAAAGCCATTGGAGATGCTCTAAGAAGCCAGAAAGTTAAAAAAAATAATAAATAAAATAAAACATACATTTCCATTACCTTATAAATATATATACTCCAACCTTTCCAGCTAATTAGATCCGATGATTCTGCACAATATCAAATCCACAGCACTTCATAAACACATGAAGGGAATAAAATGAATACCAGAGAAAATACGACAACATCAAATGTTATAATAACAAAAGCATCTCCTTTGCTGCACATTAAACATAAGCTTAACAATTTTTTTTTTAGAAAAAAGTGTAGCCCAAAAATAAAACACCATATGATCTCGACAAACAAAATTAAGACGAAAAATATCTGTAATCAAAACGATTAAACATAACAGATGGTTTAGTAATTTCCAACAGACTGTAAGGCAACAAAAACTCCAACCCTGTGAAATAAAACAACCCATAACCTACTTTGTTTTCATAAATGAACAAACACTAATGCCTTAACAGTAGAGTTAAATTTTTTCCTTGCAAAAATAAAATGGCCAGACTTATATATACATTGTCAGACTCATCCAACCCAATGTACAATACATTATTAAATAATATTGCATATGACACAGTTGGTGGAGCCAAATCAAATCAACAGGCTTGCAAAAATACTGAGTGACCGAAAATATAACAGCATATACACATACTACACAGAACATCAAAAAATCTACCAAAAAGCTGTATGCAAATATTTTGAATGACATCAACCTGATGCTATGAAATTATTTCAGGCCTCGTTTAATAGGGTTGATGGCGGGATAAGATTAATAATAGTCCATTGAGTCAACATTTGTCATTTTATTTTGAATTTCATCCTATGTTTACTAACCTAACTTACATGATAAGATAAATTATGAATGGCAATTAAACCCTCCTTTTCATTCCACAAAATCGGCTGATTTCTTCAACAATTCTGTCATTAATTCCCTTTTGTTGCCCAAAACACAGGCGAGAAAATTTATTAATCCAAAGAAAAAAGAAAAAAAAAAATGTGATAAAACATGAACTTCAAATTGTTTAAAAATCAATTAGAGTTCAAATTGTTTTAGCAAAAGACGAAAAATCGAGATTAACTTACAAACAAAGAACACAAGCCCGACGGTGGAAGCTTGCGAGAGCTTGTTTCTTCTTTCGTGTAATAGTGATTTGTCAACAAGGACGCAAAAATTGAAATTTAACTAGGGTTCACAAGTAATTGAAGGATTTAATGCAAGAATTGAACAAATCGACTTACGGGGGAGACGCAGTGCTCGGAGGAGACGAGATTAGGGTTTCTCGCAGCTCATGGTGAAGAAAGAACAAGAAGAAGAATGGCAAGATGGGTGTGTATATTAGGGCGTCTCCAACAAGGCTGAGTCAGCTAGCTATTTGGGTGTACAGGTCAGCATTCATCCTATGTGGAGGAAAGAGAACGTGCAAAAAAAAATCGAGCCGGCGACTCGCCCATCGCTTATCTCGCACACAGTACGATGCGTCAAATCGCTAGCCTAATTGCCGGCTACTGGCTTTTCCACTCGCGTTTGTCTCTGTACATGGAAGTATTAAAAATATAAATAGCTAGCATTATAGATAGCTCTCTGGACTGCTGGCTATTTGATACATGACGTGGATATCTTCTAGCTAGCAGTTAGCTAGGACTGTTGGAGACACTCTTACTAAATCTATAAATTACTGAGGGCAAAAATTGTAATTTCATATGGAAATTCATCAATTTCGTGCTCATCTGTTTTTTGCCTCTTTTTTGGTTTTCATATTTATCTGTTTTTTGCCTCTTTTTTGGTTTTCATATTTATCTGTCATAAATACTTGAATACTTGAATTATTTTTTAATTCAATTTTAACTCAATTATGCAATTTTTGATATTATTCATTAATATAATTATGTAATAATCACACCATCATTATTACAAGTTATATCAATTTTAACTTATTATTCATCCAGTCACGTAATTTTTAATTAACCATCACTCCATATATCATCTCTCCTACTTTTATATCAAATCAATTTTAATTTTTTTAGTTTAACTATTATTTTAATACAAACTCAAAATATACTAACAACTAATCATACCATTTTATTTAAAATTAACCAAACAAATTCAAAGAATTCAAATAAAATAAAAAATTCTTATGTCCAAGCACATAAGTAATTAAAATTGATATGATATATAAATAATAAAATATTAAATGTTGCTTATAAATATTTAAATATGTTAATAGCATTTTTATATATATATGTGTGTGTGTGTGTGTGTGCGTGTGCGCGCGCATAATAGTGTTTGCCTTTAATTTTTAACTGTTTTACCGTTAAATTAAAAAAATTGAAAAGAGATGACTTTTTTTTAACAACAAGCCGTGCAAAAAGATTCAGTCATCTGAGAGCGATCGGGAGTCTCTCATCTGAGAGCGGTTTTCAGTCATCATGTTTTGTTTCCGACAGTGTGGCTTTGAGTTCGGAGGCAGTTGGGTGTTGAAGGTGTTTGCATGTTTCTCTATTTGGGGGTGTAGGGTTCAGTCTTGATTAGGATTCTATTAGCTAGCGTTAATGGGGAATTCTAATTGGGTCAGGCAGGACGGGGAGTTAGCTCAAAGTTAAAGAGTTTTTCATTATCCAAAAAGTAGAACATGGTGATTAATATTGCTCAAGAAGATATCAGATTGAGTGTAGAGGAATGCCAAAAGAGCATATGCGGGAAAATTATCAGAGACCGTAAAGCCAGTTGGATTGGAATTAAAAGGACGATGTGTCAGATTTTGAAGCTTCAACAATCTATGGAGGTCAAAGAACTGGGACACAACTTTTTTTCCAGTTCATTTTCCAAAGTAGAGATGACCTAAAGAACGTGGCCGGTGGAACAAACTGGAGTTTTGGGAACCAATTCCTTATCCTTCAGAAGCGGCAAGAAGGGCTCACTAGCAATCACCAAGGTTTTCAAGAACTTCATATTTGGGTATAGGTAACATTTCCCTTAATTTGCTTAGTGCAGAGGTGGCATGAAGATTTGTAGAGTCTTCAAAGGTGTTAAAAATGTTGTACTAGTTAGTTCGGGTAACCATAGAGGTAGAATTGTCAGACTTCTCGTGTTTACCAAGTTGGATGAAGCCCTTCGCCGATGTGCCAATATAAGGTTAGTAGATCAATTGGTAAGTCTGAGTTTCAAGTACGAGAAACTAGTAAATCTCCGTCACTATTGTGGATTGATAGGACATCTTGATCGAGGATGTTCAAAGAGGTTGGAAGACATAAGGCCTAACTCTCTAAAAGAGGGATAATATGGAGAGTGGTTGAACATAACTGAAGGTCAAAATTGGATTGAGTGAGTAAAGAACTTCCTTCAAAGCATCAACAAGTCAAATTAAAGAGAGGCACCAAATTATCCAAGTGCAAGAAGAATCAACTGCAGATCCAAGGTCAGATACAGTAGCCTCGAACTCAGTAAAGTAGGATCCTAATATTTAAACCTCATTCTTTCCTTGGGGAAAAGATCAACCTAAATCCCGAGTGCAGGCGATTGTGGATGAATCAATACAACAGCCTCAAGAAGAGGAAAGAGATATGGACATAAAAGTTTTAAGAGTACCTAGTAAGAAGTTATTTACTTTGGGACTAGAAAGAGTGACTCAAGAGGAATCAAAAGACAAGGCAAAGACTTGGAATAGGGCAGGAACTAAAGAAGGAAGATTGATGAGACAGAAAGAATGCATGATCTCAGCTGAACCTATGGTAGGAGGTAAAATGACACTAGACAAAAGAGTTTAGTTCCAAGATAATAAAGGACAAATGAATGTGAAAACAGTTGGGAAAAAAATTGAAAGTAGTATCGGAGAAGGTGGGGTGGCCAGCCTGGATTGACACCCAAGTGACTATTAAAAGCTGTGGTGTGGAGGTGTAGAAGGCTGAGTGGGCCCTCTACAATTCCTACATCAAAGAGTATTTTAGGACTCACCACCCAATGTTCTTTTTTCTTTCTAAAACTAAGAACCCTAGAGCTTTTGTTAAATCTGTGAGTAGAAAGTTGAGATATGTGGATAGGTGTGATGTACTGGATCCAAAGAGGCTTGGTGTTGGCTTACTTCTAAGTACTGGCAAAGTAATTAGGAAGTCCAATGAGGTCTTCTGAAACTAGAGAGTGGTAAAT